TGGCTTGTGATAGATGAGGAGGAGTATTTTTCTAAATTTAGAGCACACATCAATACTGAATATTGAATACTCGGCCAAGTTGAAAAGACCATTCAACTTGGTTAAATGCTTTCTGTGTACCTTTAAAATTTCTCCCTCTATTACATTTAGCCTTAAAAATCCAAATATAGAGGTTTATAATATTAATGTTACGTCACAATCTATCTGGGCTAATTTTTATTTAATTAGGCTTTTGAAATTACTGATATTTTAAAATCTATATTAGTAACATATATGTTTCTCTGAGCTAATTTTATCTTCCTAAAGGTTATTACCATGATTGACTTCTTTGTGAATGTACATAGCAGCAGGCCACCTATCACTGAAACCCCTTGGCTTCTGAGTCTGAAAAATATTTTTCATAGTCATTAACAAATCAAGTTTAAGTTTCTGAAAAGAAATAAGCGTCTATTTTCATTTGCTAAATAAGGACTAGGCATTCTTTGAAGAATAAGGCGCACACCTGGAATTTTGAAGGAATATTTCTGTGTTTTTATAAACTGGCAGCTGGTGGGAAATCGCTTATTTAAATATATCTGCCACAAAAGTCATGAATAAACACAAGCTTACTATTTATAGGAAAGCAAAGTGATGAGATGGTTTCTGTCACCCTATTAATCTACCTAAAATGTTCACATTCCAGCTCACCCTTATCTATTTTCTTAGTAGGAGGGTACACTTCCAAATTAGGTAGTTTTAATTTCGTTTCTTCATTAGATTTAGATCCTGACCTTCCTCCAAGAGTAGCTGGCATTGTGCATATTTTTTCACAGTAATAACCTGTAGCATAGGTTGATCTGCGAGGGAGTGGTCACCCGGTCAGCTTCTACAGCCGAATGCGGACTTGAAAATGGGTTATTTATTTTCAGAAAATCCCTGTAGGACCCACGTAGATCCCATAGGTATTTTTTAACCATTAGGTAATTCTAGAGACTGGTTCTTCACTGTGACTAAAGTAAGTGGACTTACCTGGTTGGTTGCTAGGGGCTGAATTATTTAAAAAATGTGACACGTATTATTCTTTGTGTGTAACTGAGTGAGAAGTCGGGGCAACTTGGTACTACTTGAATAATCAAAACCTAAACAGGCTGAAGATATATGCTGGGCACATGCTAAACACCAATGGCGTGTTGGGGTCAGATGTGCAGGTGAAACTTAGAAACCAAAGAGTTGTGCCAAAGATAATTGAACTGGGGGGTGTATAGTCCGAAAATAAGATCTATACAAGGAATAGATTCAATATACAGTGGGAGCAGTGGAGACATGGAAATCAAGGTTGAAAAAGAAAATTCCCAAATTTCAGAGAGGAACTTTCAGAACAAGGGGTCACTGCAAAGAGAGACTAAGCCGTGGCAGCAAAAAAGGGTATTAGATGTGGACTTCCAGAGCCCAGGAAGAAGTGTCAAGAGAACCTGCAGATTGCCAACCTACAGCAAAGTTTTATTCAAGAGCTTCTTCGCTTAAGGATACAGAAAATCAGAGATATGTTAATCTCATGTCCCTGCCCTGTTGCCACCTCCATGAGGCCTCCCAAACTCAAATGTGTATTTTCCTGGCACTACTGGAGCTGAAGTACCTTTTCTGGTTTGCATCTGAATGCCTGCACCTCCCTGCTTATATCAATATTAATCTGATTTAAACAATTTAAAATATTTCAATCAACAGAGGAATTTTTTTTTTTCTAGGAATAATAATTCCAAGACATTTAAGGTACAATAAACCCCCTATTTTTCCAAATTTCCATAGTCACCTACGATTCAATTGGAAATATATTGGGTTTATTCCAATTAACTGAACAACTTGATAATTTACCAAACCGTTGTATAATAGCCATAAATTGAGGTGAGGTACATTGATAATTATCAGTAAGCCTCAAAACATCATCTGTACGTAATAACAATTTACGTTCAGCTCTTGCCACCCAAATTATAACAGATTGTCTAATAAAACAGGCCAATAGTTCAAAAGCCTGAGTAAATATAAGAGGAGATTGGGAACATCCTTGACTCCTGTTAGTGGATGAAGAAATAATTCCATTGATAATAACTCTATCCGATGGATTAAGTTATCACATTTTTATCTAACTAATAAAAACAGAAGGAAATCCACTTTTACCAAAACAGGTTCCAAACATTTAACCTGTGCTATATCAGAGGCTTTTAAAAAAGTATCTACATTTTGCAAAGAAATTGGGAAATAGATGTGTGTTCCACTGGGTCCTTACCCAGCTTCAGTATTAATTTTAGAAGAAAAAAAATCTTTCAAAAAAAGAAGAAAGAAGCAAGTCAATTCACAAAAGCAAAATTATATACTTTCAGCAATATAGAAACAAAATACACCATTCTATAAGAAAGCCGTCTGGAACAGGGGGGTTCCCTGTTTTCATGGATTTAATAGTGTCTGTTATTTCCCACAATGATAATGCAGTCATTTTTATTGTGTTAAAAAAAATCTTCAACTGGTTCCTAGGAACCGTTGAGTCAGCAGCAGAGATCTGACTATAAAATAAAATTTTATATTTTTATGATTATAAAAATAAAATTTGTGTTCATATTTTGAATTGGCATCATTACATACTTCACCTTGAGAATCCTTAATTGTAGAAATAATATGTTGTGGCTAGCAATGCCATTTTGTTTAGCTGAAAGAAAGAAAGGAGGCTTAAATAATTAAAATCTGAATTAATGTTAAATATTAAGAAGGCAAAAGTAATGTCAGCCAGCATCTTTAGTGAACTTAGAGTGGATGGTAAAGAAGTGAAAGTTACAGATATTTTGTTTTCTTAAGTCAAGAATAAAGAAGAAGTGAAGGGGGCTTAATCTGAAGGAGGGAAGCATTGACAAATTTAGGGAAGATGAAGAAAGTTAAGGACATTTGAATGACAACAAAGGTATCAATAATCAGCTCTTATTTTAGTGGCAATGTCTGTTTCTTAAAATCATTAAGGAAGAACAAGAAAAAGAAGATAAGACATTTTCGAGTTATGGATTTGGAGAGTGCTCCCAAGAATACAAGACCTTCAAGAAGAACCAATCCATCCTGCCTGAAAATAAAATAAAGACAAAATTCTTGCTGGATTACAGACTGACGTACTTTGTTTTTGGAAGCTAAGCAGGGTTGGCTTGATAATAATTGCATGGGGCACCACTGAGAATCCAAGACTTTTACTAGACTGGGGAGGCCAGAAAACAAATCCCATAAAAACACTGATGGCAAACTGCTTCCTTATCATGTCTGTGAAACCCTCAGAAGTTGAATTTGACTCATGGGAATCTTGTTTTTAATTGGAACCCCACAAAGTTGGTTTATTATACTTAAACTTGATTCAGACTGCCTTTTAGATGGCTCAGTATCTACTTAAAAGCAACGAAGTTTAGTGTTTGGTAAGAGGAGTAGCTGTGGTCATAGAAGGACGCTAGCGAAGAATTAACACTAACACGACCGCACTCCAGGTGTGCTCAGCTGGAAAGAGTGAAGCGGAGAGAACGTGTGATCACATTTGCAGATAACGCGGAATTAGGTGGAATGACTACTAACCCTAAAATAACCCTCAAAGTGAGAAATTTAGTTCAAAACTATCTTGATTCACCTGAAACATGGGCTGAAAATAAAAGAATATAATTTAACTGAGTCCAATGTAAAGTTCTTTCTTTAGGAAACTGAAATCAAATGCACAGGTATAGGGTGGGGGTGGGGGCTGCCTGTCATAATAATACCAAAAAATGGTGGAATAGTGGTCGATTGCAAGCTGAATATGAATCTGTAAGGTGGCCTGGCTGCAAAAA